AAGTTGGAAAATATTTGTGAGCCAAATGAATCAAATGATGACAGACTTGATTCATGTCAGAGTTTGGACTCAGTGGAGCAGAGAGAGCAGATGAGCATGAATCCTCTCCGTCTGAAGCGTAGAGCTCGGCATTAATTCCCTGAAAGATGTGATGAGTATGTGTAAAACTTAGTCAGACCCATCTCCTTCCTAGAACACAGCAGCACGTCTGTGTAAGGTCAAGCAGAACTTTAACAGCATGACTGTTTACTCACTACATTTTGATTTGAATACAGTGATTTCAGACAGATGTCTTATCATTATCCTGATAAGAGCATTCACAATAAACACACAGCACAAGTCTGAATTTAAAGCAACAAATAAGAAAAATTACAATTAAACTTCAATTAACAGCCTCAGCTTTTTGACTTCTGTCGATGAAATGACTGCTTAGTTTGGGACAAAAGACACTTTTGAAGAACATCTCACAGACAACTGAAACGATGCGATGCGATACACGGTGGTGACCCCAACTTAAGATTTTTTGAAAGAGTCGGGAGCCCAAAAGGTTTGAAACGTGTTGCATTTAAAAAGTTGAACAACTGATATTTATGCAAAACCTTTCTATAATCTTAAAAATATATATTTAAGTTGAGTACAAGAAACTTTAAAATATGAAGTGACTAGTCATGCATAAATGGTGTTACCTTTTTTTTCAGGTAAAATTGATCCCACTATTATTTGTTCAGTACACGAAGGAGAAATCCACCAAGCAGCTCTTCCTGCATCTGTCTTAACATTTGTTCTTACTTTGGTTCGTAGAGACAAAAGTCGACACAAGACGCCTGTTAGCATAAGCCTTAACAAACTCTGTGCTGGTATATGAAGCTGTGTTACATCACATTGTATGTTGTTGTTTAAAGTACATGTTATAGTGTTAAAATGTCAAGTGAGAGATGGAAAAAAAAAAAGTATTTATTTCACTCTCTAAAAGCAGCACAAAGCAGCCGAGTCCTCCCTGTCCCTCCTGTCGCTCACTGAGGCTAAAATGTCTTCATGCAGGAGACTCTGAGAGGCCATGCTCACAGTCTGGGGATACACACACACATGCACGCACACACGCGCACACACACACACACACACACTGATTCTCCAGCTGATCTTTAGCCTTCTCTCTCTGGTTCACATACTTCCATGTTTCTGTCTTTCTTGGGCAGATGTTGAAGTTCATCTTTATGTTTTTGTGTCTTGATGCTTTTCCTCCAAATTTTTGATCCGCAAACTATTTCATCTCTAAACTCATAGAGGCCTTAATTTGTCAAAACCTGCAGCCACACCGGGTTAGTAAAAAGAGACTGGGACTTAAATTGTGAAGGGCTTTTATTTGAAGGTTTACGGTTGTTAAAAAAAGCAATGCTTTCTCACTCTGCATGCGTACAGGATGGAGGCCTGGGTGTTACTGCCATACTTTCACTCCATTTTCATTCAGTCAGATGAAAGCGAAGCTCGATGTCAGCTCCCGTCAGATTAAATAAAAATCCTTCTTTTTGGATTCAGGAGACACACAGGTGTTGTGCATCACATGAAGAAAAGCAGAAACACACAAAAACTGTGATTTATATCTTGTAAGCTCTCTTTAATATTGGTTCATTTATTGCACTTTGTTATTGCAACATGGAGCGATGATAACACGCTGCCTGTTTTTGTCATATCACGCAGAAGCCTCCTTTACAATCTCTTCTGTTTCTTTAAACGTGCAATATCTGATTCAAATTCAATAAAACCCCTTCTTGGAAACTACTGTAGGGAAAAGTCTGTCCTCCTGACTCATATCAATAGTAAGCACACGCCAGGTGTAGGATAAGAACTTTAGGCCAACCTAAAGTAGTGAGGGAAAAAACTTCACTTTCAATTTTCAGTCTTAGTCACTTCATTTCTTTTTTTACAGATTCAGAAAGCCCCATTATTTTTGCACCTATAAAGCCTCTTTCTGGTTGTTCAGTGTTTATTTCTTCTTAACTTCCTGAGCAGAAAATGACACTTTGATGTGTGTGTGTGTATATCTCTGCTCCTGCTGTGTGCAGGAGAACGTTGATGACTTTTGCCTCGATGCTAGAGTCAAACGGCGACCACAGGGCCCCAAATGGCACCCTATCACTGTGGCAGTCTGAATATAGCTCATGAGAAGTGCAGATGAATTCACCTCCTCCCTTCACTGCAGGCCCCTGAAAATGTCTGCGAGATTTCAAAAGCCCAGGTGTGGTACACGAGAAAAAACTTCTGAGAGATCTGTCAGGCTGTACACCGAGCACGCGTCTACAGAAGGGGGAGAAAAAGAGAATCTAGTCTTTTACTTCCTGAACTTCAAAGGGGCCTCGCCTCCTCAGTGTGGCCATCTAAAGGCTCAGTGGTGTTTGACCCTCCTCTTACTTTTCTCTACACTTTCCTTCACCTCTTCTCCTATAGATACCGAGGTTTTGATGAACAATGCAGACCCTCAGACTTTCTCTAAAAAAAAAAATCACAGAAAAATTTGATGTAGAAGTCTGAACCCCATATCAAATTTTAAGGAGAAATCGTCTCTGTAGTGGAACAGTTTCTCTGCTCAACTTTTCCACAAAATCTTGTAGGAGTTTTGTTATGTTTTGAAAAAGTCCTCTTCACTGGTTTTATGATGGAAGCTCTTTGTGTGAGGGAGGATGAGATGATAAAAGGGAGAGAGGATGTTTTCGTCATTTGAAATGTTTGTAATATGAGGTTTGTGGTTTTTGCACAACAAGCAAAATTCTGCTTTTTTGTGTCATGTGGAAGGATAACACCTCAGCACCTATTTCACTGAACCTGTTGTTGTTGCGGGTTATATGAAAACTACGTGTTGAAAATCTTTGGAAGTGTGTGAGTGTGAGTGTGTGAGTGTGTGTGTGTGTGTGTGTGTGTGTGTGTGTGTGTGTGTGTGTATGTGTGTGTGTGTGAGTGTGTGTGTGTGTGTGTGTGTGAGAGAGAGAGTGCGTCTAAGTGCTCTGGTTGAAAATATGAACATCTATGCTGAAACAAAACCCTTGAGTTCCTTTTAACTCACATCATAATAATTGTTTGTTTCTAGAAAGACATGTATTCTCGGACTAAGCATGAAGAATGACAGATGTCACATGCAAACACACACACACACACACACACACACACACGGAGAGACACACACTTTGCAAACACATTTTTCACACAAACTTGGTGAATCTTCCACCAAAACCATGAAGCAAATATTGTTGACACGTTGACGTAATGCATGCAAACAAAGCATTTGAGCAACTTTCTGATTAAATTTAACAAAAAAGAAGAAGAAACGATCTCAAAAGTTGCACGAAGCAGCTTGTCTGACTTTTTTTTTTACAATTTAATTGTATCTATACTCACAGTCCCTCTGACAGCAGGTGTGAAAACAGTAATATAGAGAATCATGCACCCCAAAGGGAACTATTGAGCAATAATACCTGCATCTTTCATGCTCTGTAACTTTGAATCTACCTGCTATTTAAACTGAAAAATGCAAAAAATGCACACAAAAAGTTCATATTTTCCAGTATGCCGAGTTCACTTGAATTTCAATTTGAAGTCACTTTGATAAATACAGAGTGACAATAAACTGAATTGTGAATTGATTGTAAATACGACCGATCAGTGTGCTATTATGTGACAGCGGACTTGTGTCCTGCACAGACCCGCGCCATGAGAACTGCGTGGCCTGAAACCTTCTGTCAAACACAAGTGTCCCGTTTTACACGATTAATCCTCATCGACATGACTGCGTCTCAATGCTCGCTGACCCATCAGAAGACCCGGCAGCGCCGTCTCTCTCCTCTTCCTTCTCGCTCTCTCTCTCTCTCTCTCTCTCTCTCTCTCTCTCTCAGGAGACACAAACACGCTTTTATGTTTTTTTTTAAATCTCAATTTCAGCATCATCGTTCCTGCTGCAGATGCGCACTTGAGATATCGCGTTGGGATTAAATTATCACAAAGTTTATCAGATGTGAGTAAACACGGGATATCTAAAACGGGTTGATTTGTCTCATGGTTTAATTTTCACGAGCCGAATTATATTTAAAAAACAGCGGAAAGGAAAGTAAGATTTCGAGAATTTCGATGGATTTAAAAGAAACAGCTTTAGGACGAGTACTGTGCTGCAAAGAGTAAAAATGTTATACATCGCCCTCCTTCTGGGGTTAAATCCCTGCCGTGTTAAATTGAGGGGACCCCTGTGAGTGTGGAGGTCAGACTGAAGTGTCAAAATGTTTTCCAGCAACTCAGCCTGCAACTGATATTTTGCTCCACCACATCATTTATCTGTTCACTTTTTGCCCTGAGGAAAATTTGATTTCGATCCCATTTTTTTAGAAAAGAGAAATAACACAAAAGGCTGGCTGCTGAGTCAATTACTCTGCAAAGTAAATATTTGGCAAATTAAATTAAAGTGTTATTTTTGAGCAGCACCCTTGATATAGATTTTCTGATAAATATGCATCATATGACTCTGTTCTGAGTCAGGAGCATCAAAGTGCAAACAGGATTTCTTGTATGCTGCGCATGTGGTTCAGAGGTCATTCTCATCATTTTTACAACTCACACCCAAAGCTGCCAACACCTCTGCTACCACCTGAACAGTGATGTGCTACTGAATTCTGTAAGGTCCTGAGGAGAGTTGCAGAAAAGTTTACCAATAAAGTGTCTAAATGTTAAAAAAACAAAACTCTACTAGATTATTTTCATACGGAAAGTTAGTTTGGACTCTTTATTAATGTAAAATTGCTTCCATGGGAAAACTGATAAAGTGAAAAAGAAAAAGTGACAGCGTGTAATTACGTGCGTAATTTACAGTTTGTATCACCTCCTCTCTGTTGAAATGTGCAGGCAGGCTAACGAGTTCTCCTCCCAGGTCGTCAAAAACCAAGGCAGCTTACTTAACCTCCTGGTTTTATTGCAGGAACATAATTAAGAATTGAGGTGCAAGACGTGTCTGTCAGTCTTACCTCCCCTGTTTGGTGATGATCATCTCGGTTTGGAACTTGTGGAACTTGGCCCAAAGCGGGTAGTTATTGAGCAGCGCCTGCGTCTTTCCGCACACCTGTAGCCCAGGTAGAGGGTAGAGAGGCGGTCGCTGGTGGTAGCCGTGCTGAAAGCCTGTCGGGTAATTCTCCGAAGAGGGAGAGTACAAGTCTTTCCCGCCTGGAGGAAACCCGTCTCCTGCCGCCGAGATGTAACCCTGCCCGGCTCCGCTTCTCGACGGAGAGCGCACGCCGCCGTAGGGGCAGCTGCTGAGGGTCTGTGCGTAAAACCTGCCCGGCTGCGCTCCGTACCCTCCTCCCACCGCCTGCTCCGAGTGGTACGGCAGAGTCAGAGCGTCCTGCCCGCTCTGAACAGAGTCCGGGTAGTAGAACCTCGCGTCCTGAATCCCCATTTTAAACTCGGCTAGATCCTTCCCGTTGCGGTGCAGGTGACTGCTGATGTCGGTGCTCTTTGCGAAAGTTTGCGTTTCAGTCCCATTCAACATGCTGAGGTAGAGGTTGCCACCTATACCGCCCATTTGCAGCCCCGATCCCGGTCTGTGCGTAATGTCATAAGGCTCCTGTCGTGCGTCCAGATGAATTAAAGTATTACGATTAAAAAAAATATCGCAAAGCAGCTCAGTCTGGATCTGTATCCTCACCTAAAATCAGCCGGAGCGCACTGACAGGCCACAAAGTTTAAGATTCAGTCTCAGCCGTGAAAAAGAATTATATTAAGACATAAATCCATCAAGAGAGTATTTATGTTCAAACTTTTTTTTATTTTTTTTTATCACCCGAGCAGCTGACTGTCTTATCGAACATGTGGAGTCTCCGCCAGCGACTCAAACACACGCTCACTTTTCTAACCTATGATATATACATTTAGTAAGCGCTCATATTGTTGGAGGTGGGTCTGATACAGAGAGAGGGCGCGTGATGTGATAGGTTCACATAGAGAGAGCGACACGTCCGTCATCTCAACACACACACACACACACACACACACACACACACACACACACACACGCACACACACGCACACACACACACACACATACACACACACACACACTTTGAAAAACAGGGAGAGTAAAGTATTTTATACATTTACTAATAATAATAATATTTAATGTAAAGTAAGATTTTAAAATGAATTCATCTCCCCGTGGGGACTTTGTGACGTCACAGGATTAATAATAATGTTCATTTATTTATTTATTTTTTATTTGATAATCAAACATTTTGATATTTAGATAATAATGCCAGAAAACACTTAATCAATGAGTTATAATATGTAGAACAATTCAAAAATTCAAATTTCCAGATTACATGTCTTATTTTTAATTTAACATATTTCCCAAATAATCAATTAGACATTTTTTTAAGATTATTGATGGCTGATTATTTTCACTAAATGACTCCTCTTTGCCTTCCAAAAAAACATTATTTGAATCTCTTCTTTTTTTAAGTTAAAGATTACTCAATCAAAAAAAATCGATTTGTGTTTAAAGTACTAAAAATGAAACAACACATCACGACCTCTTTAATGAGTCAGGGTGTTTTCAGAGAGTTTCCATGAAATCACAACTGTTTTTTAAAAATGTTTTGTTCAGATTCAGTTGACAGGTTGTGCATCATCCACACCATTTCAATTTCATTTTCATTTTAAATCATGTGACACTTGAGTTGTGACATGAGTTGTCACAGATATGACGCCTTTGACTCGATCTTAAAAGACAAAAAATATATATATTGGCACCATTGGACAGCGCCTGATGTGTTTGTGAATTTTAATCTATTATCACAAATTCTGCGAATGAATTTGAACATTTTAATTGTTGTTGCTCTTAACTTATTGTTTGTGAACTGTTTCTTAATCATATCATGTTTATCATGACGTGTGCTGCTGCCGCCCTCTTGGACAGGTCCTCCCTGTGAAAGAGATCTTGACCCCAATGGGTCGATTTACTGGTTAAATAAAGGTATATTGCTGTTGCTGAAATTTACAGTTTTCTACCGTTTTTGTAAATACAGCAAAAAGCTGTGATTTTAAACATTAACAGGAAAATACTGTTGAAAGAATAAACTGTTCAATACTGTTTTTTTGCAGATTTTTACTGTGAATTGTAAATACTACATCTAGCTATAGATTAATTTCCTTCTACCAAAATGAACACAATATATTTATTTTCTAAACCTAGTGATTTGATAAATGATTCCTTGTCAGGTTATAAAACACCATGTTTTAAAATAATAAATAAACAGTGCCTTTAAAATTGCAACTTAAAATGTTAAGACAAATGATAAAAATTCAAACTGTCATCTCAAATCACATCTGTCTTTATTGAAACTGTAACAAAAACAAAGAAGATACACTTTAAGAACATGAAGGTTAAATAGGCAAAAAATCTAGCACAAATATTTACATTAAGACATTTAGCAAAGGCCATTTCCAATGTATAGTACATAAAAGAGTTTTGGTGGATACATTTTAAACAGAGAAGTGAAAAAAAAATCTGTTATAGTTTCATATAACTGAATAAACAACCTGTCCTCTGAGGGAAACTGGGTCCCTGGACCTGCACCTCCCTCTGATTTCTCCTTCCAGACTGAAACTGCCACAAGGATTCTGTAAAGGGAAAAAACAACATTAGAACAAAAGCAGCTCCAGCTGAACAGTGAACATTATCATATGGACAATCCTTTCTGAATATTCTCCATATACAAAGCAGTAAAGTAAAAGAATGAAGTAAAACTAGTATGAATACAAATAAGTCCTGGAATTACTTTAAGTACATGAATTCAGGATGTATGGCAGCAGCTTTATGTGTTAAAGCAGTAAAAAACAAAAACATGCTCCAGGTCCATTCTGACAGTCTCACTAAAGTTTCCTTTTATACATTTTCAAATACTGTATATTATACTATTTATACTATGGCCATATTGCCTAGTAGGCCCAGCTAATCATCATTTCTAATTCAATATTTAATCAATAGTCAGTTTCAGTTGAAGCTGAAACAAAGAAATGTTAGCTTGTTGATGTTAGCTAACCTTACCATTCTAGTACAACCAGGCAAGCAAGTCAAGTTCATTATAGCCCACTTAGTTAACCACATTATAAGAAAATGTTTTGTTTTTTGTCCCATTTAGCAACTGTTAAGATCTGTATTTCAAGCTAATGTTAGCTGGCATAGAATTCACTCACTGCGTGTGTGTCTGCCTGCAGTGTTTCTGAGTAATTTCCAAATCTATCTAACGTTATTCTTACAAATGACTTCAAACTAGTAAGTGATGGTTTTTGCCAATTCTAACTAGCAAAGCAGTAAGGCGCTCACCTCTTAATTGTCAGGATGGAGATGGATGACAATCGGGCAAAGCCAACTCCACTGTCCTTTCAACCATGTGGTCTCAACTTCTTTTTCCCAAAATGCATTGCAAAAACTACGGTAAATTACTGTTTTGTTTCCTTCAAGCGATAATACAGTAAAATATTGTTATAAACTGTTATAATACAGTAATGTCCTGTATTTAAACATAACAGGATCATACTGTTGAAATTCCTTGTAAATTTAAAGCAATTTCTTAGAGTGTGGGTTATTATAGTTATTGGTGATGTCACTGAATCAACAATGCAATTCAAATTAATCCAAACGAAAGGCATTCATGAATTTTTTTTTTTTTTTAATACATCCCAAATTAACTTTTTTTTTTCCGCCAAGGTTTTTTTATGTCTTTTTGTGCCTTCATTGGAGAGACAGGTGAGTGGGTAGAGTCAGAAATCAGGAGAGAGAGAGAGAGAGCAGGGAATGACATCCGGGAAAGCATCCACAGGTTGGACCCGAAAGGCTGAAACATACCATCATTTATCCTTCTGATCTTGAAGTGTGCGTCTTCCTCACAGCACACAGGCCTCTATTAGGACAACCATACAAACATGCTGAAATGGGTTTTAATGTTGGATTGAAACTACATGGTTAACTTCAAAAAGAGTTCAATGAAGATTATTTTAATGAAAGAAGAACATGCACTTCAGAAAGCTTCAAAGGTTTCACTCCCAGTCAGATATGCAAAAATATAGTTTTCAAATACGTGTGTTCTTTGTCATACTGTAACCATGCAGCACCTTATTTTTGTCCCTGGACGGGTTCTCTGCAGTTTATGGCCTTTTAGCGGCTTGTTTTGGCCGTCACAGGTCGGCCTGTTCAGAGAATCATCTTCATAAACACAGGGGAAAGAGATAACCCCGAGGTATTAGCTGCTGCATGTGTGTGTCCAACTCAAACACACACACATATTAATAGATGAAAGCCCCCCAGTGCAGGTACGACACAGTGATCCCCCCTGACACTGTCACCACTCTAATCCCACTTCCTGCGTCTCTCCTATAGCAAGGTGAGCTCATAAGGGCACGTGCTGAAGTCATCAGTGTTGACACGGGAGGTGAGAGGGCCTCAGTGTGAGCGACACGGCGGACGCCACGGCCAGCCAGGCGTGTCCACAAACCCCCCTCCCCTCTTGCCTTCGGCAGTAGTCACCACTTCCTGTACTGTGCTTCCGGCGAGAGCCTTCAGGCCATCACCTTGTGAAGCACAATCAGCTTTCATTTTCTCCTGCTCTGTTATTAGCAGGTCAGCTGGCTCGCATGTTTACAGGCATGGGGAGAAAAAACCAGCAGTGAAAGTTTGTTTTCTGAAAAGGATGAAGCATTAGCAGTCGTCGTAAAGCTTCAACTGGGATTGAGCAGTCAGTGAAGGGATTTGAAACTTAACCTCAACTGTAATGTCAGAACACTAATCTGAAAGTCATACTGTAAGTCAGGTGCAGTACTGACACCTCCTCCAAGAGGATCTGCAAATACACTTTCAAAGATCAAGCAGGAAATGATAAAACGATATTGTAAAGGGATGGATTTAAATTTATTGGATAATGAAGAAACGAATGAATGAATGACAAAATATACAAGGTTTGCACATCTGGACAAAAATTGCTGGAGTAAAATTTTGTTCCCTGCAAATCTCTTTCCATCCAGGAAAGGTATATGGAAGGATTAACGACCACATGTTGAACTACGGGCTATTATTGCTTGTGTTTCTTTCAATTTGCTTGCAAACCAGCTACAAATTTATGACACTACAGGGGGCGCTAATGGACTAACTGTAAGGTCGCATCCCATCCCATGTACTGAGGTTATAGTACGTACCCAGGTGGCCATGGGTTCAAGTCCAATCTGTAGCTCCTTTCCTGCATGTCATTCCCCAGTTTATCTTTCTCTATCCAATGTCCCATCTAAATGAAGGCAAAAGCCCAAAAATAAATCTAAAAAAAGAGGAAGTGTATGTTCAAGTCAAAGCAGAACGATGTCGATGCAGTGCCTGCTCACATCCAATAACTCCTGGTAGCTTCACAACGGAAGAACTACAAGACAAAGATCAACCAACTCCAGCACACAAGGAGGAATTTATTGCTTAAAGGAACTGGGAGGAACTTTTTAGTTTGAGTCCATTTGAGCGACTCTTGTGAACAAATTGGTATATCTTATAACTCTACTGGTCCTGTCCTGTTCGTGTGACTCATTGTCGAGTTCAAAACCTCTTCCTTCTTCTTTTTAAGTGTGTAATGTACCTGTGAAAATATAAATGATGCCACTTCTGGTCTGTGTGCTGTAGTTCATCTAAATCTGACCTGGTGACGGTTACAGGCATGAAAAAAATTACACACACAAAAAAGGTCAAGTCTTCTTCTGCAGCTCATATAGAGACATCACTTTTAAATTGTGTCTGTTTCATAACCTGTTATGAACGTCTTACTTTAATATGACAGTTTTTAAAATTAACA